GTTGACGGGAACTCTTTAATACTGTCAGTGCCGTGACAAGGGGTGTGCGAGCGGTGCCCCCGCACAAGACGCCGATTGGCTGCCGAATTATTAAAAATTCATTCATCAATTCATCATCAGCAATCATCGAATTCACCGTAATTACTTGAAACGAAACGATACAAATTCTACGTTAGCTTTTCTATTCAGGTGAGAAGGGTGCTCCCCAATTCTGAATTTCCATTATGAAATGAGTTCTCACCCCCCCCTTTCCCACCTCCATGATGCATTTTCTACAATAAACGCCCCATTAAAAGTTTTAAAAAATTGACCACAATTCTCTTTTAGTTGAAACTGGAAGGACAGTTATCCCAAAAAACCTGTTGCCCGTAATCGAGGAAAATGCACGTTTACTTTTATACCTTTAGCAACTAGCTTTTAGATGATTTGCAATTCATTTTCGGCATTTGGCGAGTGAAGAATATCGTTGGAAATATGTGTGAAAAGTGGTGGCAGTTTCGGGAAATCAGAATCGATTTTCATCCATGAGAACTGGAGCTCATTCGGAGACATACTGTTTCGGCAATGAAATGTCTTTTTCGGCATCTCCTATGGAAACAAACTGTAAATGAAAAGCGGCGACTAGAATCTCGAGATCGTCCGCATTGTTTGAAGTTCGTCCACAAGCAAGTTTCCTGCAAAATCCTGATGATGGTAGGCACTAATTATGTCGAAGCCATTGGGAATGAAAGTAGCAATCATTATGAAGAGCATTCAGTGCTTTAGTGTGGATCTTAGGTGCAGTTTTGAGACTTCCCCCGTGGATAATCATGTGTTATTCATTCGAGGGGAATGGGAAGGACTACTTCATTATTCAAGTAAGGAAAACCTTTATTGAATTTACCTCTACTTGATCCGTGGAGAAACCCAATCACGAGGGACTCATTGAGGAATATTGAATGAATGTTGCCATCAATATTGTTTCAACATTCCATTTCAATATTGAAACAATGTTGACAAAAATGACATCTTCACATTGAATCAATGTGGCACCTCAATGTTGTTTCAACATGATAAATGTTGCCATGAAACATTGTTTCGATGTTGTTTCCACATAGATGTGTTACCTGGGTTAGTGTGGATCTTAGGTGCAGTTTTGAGACTTCCCCCGTGGATAATCATGTGTTATTCATACGAGGGGAATGGGAAGGACTACTTCATTATTCAAGTAAGGAAAACCTTTAAGACTGCAAGAAACGCTATAAATTCAGCCTACAACCACCCGCATTTCAGTGAATAGCGAAAAAACTTCCCCCTAATTTGGAAAGATGTCACTCCGACTTCAAACCCGTTATTACCCATTCCTAGTGCGAGAGCAACTCCTAACACACGTTTGCGAGTCGAAATAGGTTAACGATATCACAAGTGCTTCACCTTTGTAGCTCGATCCGGCTGAAAAGTGGGCCCGAATGCCGAATATCGTCATTTGTGCCGAAATCCAATTTCCTCGATGAATTTCAATCGCCGACCGTCCGTTTTGTGTTTCCCAAATGACGAAATGTAGGCAGAAATGCTGAAATTCGGATATAAGGTGACGGGAATATTTGCCCAAGGGCAAAGCCTGCCGAGCATCATTCTCTGTGCCGAAAATTCATACTGTACGCCAGTATCCAAATTCGCAGCGTTATGCCTCTTCCATTGAGAGACAAAGGGGGAAATGTGCCAAAATGCATTACTTATCAAGACTTAAGACCCTGTTACACTTGGCGAGTACTCGCCAAGTGTAACAGTGCCTTAAATCTTGATTGCTAACATGCACAATTTTTTTTGCGAGTAAATTGGAGCCTGAAGCGCAACCACCCCTTGACGACTCGAGCTGGAATGCCTCAGGTACAATCGTAGGCAAAGCTAAGGACCTGATTAACACCAATGTTTTACTCATTTGAGACCAGTCCTTTTTTCCTCCCTCGTTACACAATCATATACGAGGGAATATGGATAAATAATGAAAGGTGTTGTCCAAATACTTCAGAACATACAAAACTGGGTGGAGAAGTGAAATCTTCAGTGATTCTTTGTGTCAAATTATCATTATGCTGTTTGCTACCAGTCTTGGTAGCATCTGCCTCTCAAGTGGAATTACTATCTCAACTTCATCCAATTCCTGAATGTAAAAAAATTCTATATTCACTAAGGAACAGTATCAGCCCTTCATTCATGTAAGCAGCACAATACTGAACATACCAGTTCCAAACTTGCAATATGCATGTTGAGGATCGCTTGTAACTTTAGAGACTCGATGACTCCTCCAGGGGTCACTTGGGATATTCTTGGAATGTTCTGAATGAACAGCGTTGACCTCCCTCTCAGTGGCACTCTCAGTAAACAAAGGATGGATGAAGAACTGGGCAAACCTGTCAGAAAAAGGTTAAAGCATTGAGTTCCATTCATTAGAAATCACGAGAAATAATCACGATTTAGTAACAGATCATTCACATGTTTGATTCCCGGATATAAAGGAGTATATTTTAATTCAGGTGATAATTCAAATTTGTTTAATGCACTAGCTGGGCAATACCTGAGGAAACGTCTGTGAAAATCTATTCAACAGGGTGCAGTCTCTGAATATACACAAAGAAATGAAAGTTACAAATTTCCCAGTGTATTCCTCTTGCAATTGATTAAGTTTGAACTTCTTTCTTCTTGGCAAGGATTGTACATAGTTTTTTTCTTCCGGTGAAACAGGGAAACATTGTTGATTGATTAATCAAAAGGGGTGATCTCTAACACTTCACCTCAAGGAGAGGTATAAGCAGCATCGAATCTCATAGCATCAAACCACGTGGCGCCAAAACTCGTAGCATGGAAAACACAGCCTCAGAAACAGGAGCACCTCTCAGGGTTGGGTGAAGATAATTTTGAATAATATTTTAACTGTCTTAGGACAAGCAGACTTAGGAAATGAAAGTCTGGGAAGATGTCATGAGAATATGCAAAAAATTAGCATCATGGAACACTCCTTGCAAACTTGAAATACTGAATATCAGTGATCTCTTGCACCTTTCATGCGGTCCAAATATATTGATGTCAAATAACAACATGAAAAAATATCAACTTGACATCAATAATGCTGTCTGGTTTAAACACAAAGATTTAGTTGTTGCAGTTAGTTACATGCAGTTCTCCAACTCAGGGTTGGAGAACTGCATGTTACTTGAATTCTGTTATCCTTCTTCAATCATAGAAAAACTGCCAAGTTCAGAACATTTTATCAAACATAAGTACAGATCGTATGATACAACACAATCTGAAACTTTCTATGAAGCTGTTAATTAGTTCTCCATGGAGCAAAGAGATGAAGTTTTACTCATCTTAATCATGAAAGAGATTAAGAAGTGACTCAGGAAAAATATATTCAAATCGTGTATATTAATGCCTATAGCAGTACATTAATATAGTATATTAATGCCTATAACAAATCAGTTAGAATGTGTTGGGCATCAATAAAAGGCCTTTCCCATGGTCTCATTGTATTAATGCTGATTTAAATTACTTTCCTAAATCTGAAAGAGCTACAGAAGAAACGCAATTTGTTGCCTCTGAGGTAAGGTGAATATTGTGATACTGATGTGTCCACAAGAGACCATGACATTAAAAATCCCATTTAACTATTTTGAGAATAAATTAAATGAAATTCGCAGTATCAATCCACTGAACCCTATACTCATCATACAACAGGCAAAGTCTGTAGCACATTCAAACAAAATGGCCGTAAGCAACGAGTGAGCATGCCACAAAGAAACGTGGAGAAATTCAGTTTCATATTTTGTTCTCTCACTTGCAGAAGTTGCACGACCCTGAGCTAGAAAGCTAGAAGCTGTGTTCATGCTGAAACGGGATCACGCTCATGTAGGGTTACCATATTTCGGACAGCCAAAAAAAAGGAGGTCCAGCAGTCGGAGGGAAATTTGAAGGCGGAAAAGGAGGACATGTCCGGGAAAAACCGGACGTATGGTAACACTACGCACGTGGATTAACATCTCCAAATTGTAGGGCACTTGAGATGGTTCTATAACATAATGTCGAAAGCCACAATGACGTCAGATTTTATATCGACTAGCAAAAACGTCGAATGCCACACAATATCGAATGGACAATGGTCGAATGGGCATAATGTTGATTGTTACAATACCGAAGGCGTCAAAATGTGGACAAACGTCGAATCCTCAAGATGTCGAAATCCGGTTATTATTTTCCATTCCTTGGGGCCTGATATAATCAAGGAGAGGAGATTACAGTATTTCTTTCTCCTCTGCTCCCTTGAGGCAGCGATACTGCTTTGTCAACTTATCATTTCTCTGCATCAGTAAGCGTTGGCGGAGTTGATTACATCAGTAACAAGCGCACTTCCTCACAAATGCGAATTGCTGAAAGGAATGTTTTCAAGTGCGAGCGATTAAAATAATCTTGTCAGGATATCCCGCACGAAAGCTGAAGAATCAAGGGGAAAACGCATTCATCAAATTGTTTCTTCCTACTCCGACCGCGAAGTGCGTGATTACTTGCGTGCAGTGGCACATAATGTTCAGTTTTGAATGCTGCATGTCAGAGGTTATCACATTTATAACCGCCAATGAGATTGCCTTTCTTTCTGGAACAAGTGCAGTTTTCCCGTGTTCGGCATGACGAGACTTCATTAACAGAATAAATAAAAGTCCATTTCGACTTTTCTCTCTTTCGACATTTTGACTTTCAACATTTCATTCCTTCGCCGTTCAGGAATTCGACATAGTTGGTAATCGACAATCGGACAGTCGACACGTGTGTTTTCGACATTTTGACGGGATACGCTTGAGATGGCTAATAATTTATTCGAACACATTTACAGCCCATGCCAAAGTGAAAACATCCAGCTCACCTGTCCAATGCTTCAAACAAATAGGGAGGAGCAACATCAAAATAATAATTGGTGTCAGCAGCCGACGTGAATGCGTTGCATGATCCCCCATGTTCTGATAAAAACTTGACATATGAATTCTCTGTTGGGTACTTCTTTGTCCCAAGGAACAGCATGTGCTCACAAAAATGAGCCAAGCCCTCTAAATCGTCAGGGTCAGAGAGAGATCCTGGAATGAAGAAAAACAATTATGCATGCAGAAATCGTCTGGTTGATATGGCGGGGAGGGCAAAGCAATGACCATTATTATTAATGGAAAGGGTTCTGTAATTTCTTTATTCTGATTCTGAGACTGTTGATGCCCGATGGATACTACTATGGGTACATCTGGGCACAACTATCCTGGTTGGAGGTCTGAGATGAAACCCAGAGAAGTTCAAGACTTCGTTTGCTTTGAAGTGAATCCACTCACTTTTGAGTGAAAGTGAGTGAGTTGAGTAGTAGAATTGAAAAATGTATAAATGTACTCCAGCATAAAATTGAAAGAAACTGGCTCATGCTTTCACCAATAATTAACGACTTACAGAATATATATAAATCCCAAGGCCGGAAGTCGTTGGGTTGGATTTACGAAATGAGAAAACGTCATATTTTATCGTGGAGAACTGCATGGAGCGCCAGGAAGAGTCCCAACGAGGGATTCCATTAAAAGCACGTGCGGCGAAATATAGATGTGAAGAGGACTGAACTCCCCGAGCAGTCAACATTTAAATAATTATTGGGAAACATTTAAAGGCTTTAAAGAATTGTTGGGTCAGAACTCTTGGATTATTTGAGTGCATATGCTACTATTACGTTTTTCTTTTCGAGTCATCGGAATATTTACGCAAACAAGAAAAAGTGTTTCGGCAATGCGGGCGCCAAAGACGGATTAAGTGACGAATTGCGAATGGTCACCCAGTGCTCCTTGAGCCGGGACTCGCATGATTCGACAATGAAAATTCTGTTTAATCCGTTGCAATTGATATTAGTATGGGGGTTATTGAGTGGATAAAAATACTAATTTATTGTTGGTGTTCTCAAGTTTTTACATTGACTTCACATAACGTGACGTCACAATTAAAACAAATTCTAAATTTCGATTTTTCCCACTTCATTTAAAAAAGTGTGAACGTCAAAGGCGGAAGTTTACGATACATTAATAGCCATCAGATACAGCCAGAACGGCGAGTGTAGCAAATTGCCTTCCCTTCGAGAAAACCACGAGCAACCAGGCAGTGGCGGCTGTGGACGAAAAATCATCGGAAGGCATTGGAAACCAACTTCGTAATGAAGAAGAAATGATCGAAGTGAGCATGGGAGCATCAAAGTGCGTTGCGGTCGGCTCGGTCGCCAGATGGATCGCACTTTCTGAAGCGTCGCGTAGCAAAATCAAAAGACCGAACGAGAAAACGTTCCCCGTTGACGGTTTACATCGAACCGAAATCGCGCGAATGGATACTTCGCGGGAGGTCCGAGGGTAGAGTCGGAGGCGCCGCGCGTCCGGTTCCGAGAAGCTGTTGGGCCGCGGGGACTCGATTGGAACGCGGAAATCGGCTGACCTCATTTTCCCAGTCCCTGCGCGTGGGTCGTATCTGACTTCCGTATTTACCATCGTTTATGATGTCATGTGATGAAGATGAAGAAATAAGAAATATCATAGCAAATATAATACCAGTGCATGTATAGGACGAACAAAAAAGTGAAGGGAAACTGTGTTCCAAGGGGAAAGCAAAAATCATTTGTAATTTCCTCTAAAAAGCCAGCCAACAATGGAAAGGCGGGATGTGATGAAATGAGACTTTTAACAGTCGCTGCCTTTTTCATTTTCCGTCACTGAGAGCCAGCAGAAGGTAGAAACTTTATATACAAGGGTCGGTCAAATGAAAGTGGGGCCACCCTCGCCTACTCAAGGATGCCTTTACCTACATACTGCTACTGTTTCTACGAAAAGAGTAGCAACAGGTCGGTGAGACGATTGGATAAGTGCCTTAATGCTTTTGAAGATTATGTGTAAGTCTACCAGTTTCCATAATACGCGTCCTAGCCCACTTTCATTCGACAGGCACTAGTAAATCCAGACCAGCTTCTTGAAAATGGTCAAGAGTGGGTTACTCGGTTACTTGTCGAGAGGTATGTTGCCATGTGCCAAAGTTGCAGAATCGTGAAATCTTGGCATCTCAGTTGTTTTTATTTATTTCCTGCGTCTCAAATTATGTCAATAGACCATTCATGGTGCGAGAGATACAGCCCGCCGAGAGCCCGAACGAAACCCTGCAACATTTACGGGTCATTCTATTTTACGCAAACGCAGCAACCACACAACTACGCTGTACATGTAGTCCTCGTGATTCCCCGATGTGACGTGAGAGAAATTCGCGAGAGATTCCACCCGGTAAGGGTGGAATAGCGAGAACACACAGATAAAGAAAACTACGATTCCACTCGGGATCTCACGATGCACGGATACAACCATGTCACTACCGATGACATCCATATCACGAGCCGTCGCGGTGTTCCCTACCCTCCTCGTTCATCAACCAACCCCTTCCCCCGCTCAAAAACGACGTGAAAGAACTGGAACCACGAGAGTTGGAGGACGCAATCCCCTTCCCCACTTCCCCCTTCCCCCTTCCTTCCCAGCTCCCCACTCCCCCCCTCCACCTCTCTCCACGGTGTTCGTCGGCGGTCATTCCCCAATGCACCCATGTTTTCCAAGCAGCCTTAGTTTCCATCTTTTTAAAAGAATGTAATGATTTTTTTTTTGCTTTCATTCTTCATTTGAGGCCAGTTTCACCTGTCAACTTCTGTCAGTACTCTTCAATAGCCGTTCATTAGTATGACGTAGGATGTCCCGTATGTCCTCGATGTTCAATGAAGGAAACGGTAAAATACGGGATAAATACTTTTTCTTTTTCAATGAAAGAAGGTGAATCGAGACTCACCAACATGGAGATCCAGAGAAGCAGCAGACTTATCGGTCTCTGGGTCACTGATGAGGATCACTTTCATTCCATTCTGGAGCTCCAGACCTCTATAGAACCTGTCATCTTGCTCAGATTTTATGATGTCATTGAAACGTTGCTTCACACCCATTGCGACTGACATTGTTGTATGAAACCTGAAAGATAAAAGATAAGGGTCCAGTAACTGAAAATAATGAGTCCCCATTTGCATGCAGTTTGCATGAAATGTTAAACATTATTATTAATATGATTAATTTTTTGCTGGGACACCCACACCTTCCACTCCAAGGTGGCACGGTCCCCTTCAACCTTGTCCCCATGGGTGTCTTGTTGCAGCGGATGTCGAGTTTTTAGCGTGTTTGTCTGCAGTCCGTCTTTCAGTCTGCAGCTCACTCGTCATGACACTCACGATTGCTTTCCGATCGCCGAAAATTTCCGTTCCTTCTGCATGGAATCGAGCCGGGGGGGGGATAGGAAACAGTCACAGGGTGCCAGGTCCAGTTAAAAAGGGTGGCTGACTGATGGCAGCGACCGAGAGGGGCGCTGAAATATTTGTCGAGATGTGATTGCCGAATCCACCAGAACGATTTGCTCGTGCATGCGTCACCGTCCGATTTCCTGGCATTCACTTAATTACCTTTGTCAGCCGTTGATAATCAGCCATTCGCTGAACTAGGCACCCTGTGAGTGTTTCCTCTTCCTGCGATTCAATTTCGTGAGGAAGATATGCAGGTTCACCGATCGGGTCGCAGTCGTGAATCCCACGAGGAGTGGAGCTGCAGACCCAGGCGGAAAGACCGCAGACATGCGTGCAATGGCTCTACACCCGCTAGAATGAATGCATTGGCTCGAATGGGGACAAATTTGAAAGGGACCGTGTCACCTTCAGGTAGGAGGTATTCAGCGGCGTAGCGTCGGGGGGGGGTCGGTCAAATGAAAGTGGGGCCACCCTCGCCTACTCAAGGATGCCTTCGCTAAGCTTATGGAGGTATTGGTGTCCGTCCTGGCGGAGAAACTTATGCGACATTTTTTTATAGGTCCTGTCACGTTAAGTTAGGAATGATCCCGAGATAAGAATTTCTCGACCGTGGGCTCGACCTTGAAAGTTTAGGAAGAAAATCCCAAGTCCGTGAAGACGAACGAAAGAACGAAAAAAAAAAACCACACAAACGATCACGGCATGAAGTAACACCGGGGAAAAGCACCGATCCGAGGGGAATTCCCGCGAACTCCCTCCGGGAAACCCGAGGCTGAATCCCCCGGGAGCTCGTCGACGGTCCCTGATCCCTCCTCTGGGTTTCTTTGCCCGATTGGGCGGTTTTTAAAGCATGGGAGGGATTCGTCGAAGCGAGTTCAAGGCTGCGACTGGCATCGTTTACACTGGATGCTTACACGGGAGGGGCGTCTGCATTCTTGGATTCCTTCCGATCCGTGAGTCGGGGTGTCGCGATAAGCGATCCGGAAAATGGTTGCTGGATTCATCGGAAGAGAAATCATTCGGTTTCGAGAGGTGTGCTATGGTCATCGCGGAGTGGTTGGGATTTCTTGCGGGAGACCGAGAAAGAAGCAGTCCGTGCTTACTGTGAGAAGTGGTGCGAGTGAATTTAGGCATCGACGACGAGATGGCGGGTTCTCCGGCATCCTGCACTTGATTCCTGGGTAAGAGATCCACAGGATCTCTCCCGCAGGGAGCATCGTCGGGCCCCACCGCAGCGAGTTCGAAGAAGCCGAGGGCTTCCGGGAATTTTGGGTGCAAAGAGGAGGGCAGGTCTCACGAGGAAGGGGTGGGGTCTGGTGCGCTTCAGTCCTGGTATGACAGTCGATGGCTGCGACACGACGTCGCCGTTGGGGGTCCAGATAGTACGTTGTGCTTGCATCGCTTGGAGGTCGGTAAGGTCGGCCGAAAGTGGAGGTGGGCCGGTGACGTTGGTCCGACGGGCGTGCGATGTAGGGTGCGTGTTTGCTGCCGAGATCAGGTCGATGTCGGTGGATAGTCGGCGAGGGGGGAATGGGCAAGGTCGAGGGCATGTGACCTGTCGATGTCGATAAAACTTTGGTGGGAAGTAGGCATAGGCGGCGATTCCTAGGGGCTCAGGAGGCTCGAGCCCCCCCCCCCCCCCCCCCACAATACCCATGCTGGATTTACAGGATTCGTGATTCTCGTCACGTCTTTGGTCCTTTCCGCCTTGGGCATTAGCTTCCTCGTCGGCGCATACGCTCATCATCTCTAGTACCCCCCCCCCCCCCCCCCAAATAAAAAAAAAAAAATTGGCAGAATAATGAGTACTGTCTCTGAGCCCCCCAAAGTTCTCAACAAATCGCCGCTTATGGAAGTAGGTGTGGAATGTTGCGTGCGATTGGCCAGCCAAGGGTGAGCCACTGTCGGTAAAGTGGGGGAATTTGATTTCGCAACGTGAAGTCGCGGTTGCCTCTCCATATTAATTAAGAAGATATGAAAAGTGTTCACCTGATGCGAGGCTCTTAATGTGGAGACTATTAGCGAAAGGGAAACTGATTTATCGCTTGATTTCGCTTGACTGGAAAAAAAAAAACAACACGATCTAGCGATCCTGAAGCTACATGCAGAAACTATCGGGCACCCTATCAGCGCCATCACATGCATTGAAGATGTTCAAGAAAGCTAATACCCCTCGTATATTGCGACGTCCGAGTCCCTTGCCCGAGGATCGCGAACGCTGGAAGTCGCTCCCGCGCCTGCTCGCGCTGCCGGGGTGGCAAAACCGGCTAAAAACCTGCTCATCCGGACTTGACGGGGTGTCGAGTCCGGATGAACCGGTTTTTTCAAAGTGCATGTAGGTGCGGATGGGTGGAGCAGGCAGAAGAAGGCGGGAGGACGAAGTACTCATAAGGGATCCGAGTCCCCGATTCCGTTTCGATTTCCGATCTCGCTTTGAAAACTCGATCGTGACCTCGCTTTGGCAGCGTCGACTTGGACGAAATTTCAAAAGGCTGCAACGTATCGATATATGGACAGGGCAAGTTTCGTGAAAATAATCCCAACGAGAGCAGAGATACGTAGGTTAGAAGTCGAATGGAATCGAACCGAGTTGCTTTTTATTTATATGGATTCTGGCCGTGAAAGATTTTCGACTGAGCTACAGCACAAAATAATGTCAAAAAGACTAAATAAGAGCCTGGGCCAATTACGAAAAAGTCTCTTAGAAATGCACGCAAAAACGATCGCTGAAACTTTGATGCGCTGACTTTTGGATGGCGAATACCGCTTCTGGCAAAGAGGACCACGCCGATGTCCAACGGCTTTTTCAGCGTCTGGTCGCGAAGGATGTTCCAAGGCCCCGGAGCATCCGCCCTCCTCGAGCGAATCGCTTGCTCGCGTTGGGCGCGGAGGCGACGACTTCGAGGGCTGGACGGTTGCTTTCGTGCAGGTCGGATATCCGGAATGGATTGGGAGAGCATGTGATGAAGAAGACTTGATGCAAAATTCCACGAAATTCGCAACTGCTTGATTGAAGTTATGAACATTTTGTTCTTTCGTCGTTGTCGTTGGTCTTTTTTTTTACCCTGAATATCGTGAGAGCATTTCCACTTACTGCTCAGTTACTTACAGCTAGATTGTTCCTTTTTTTTTGCTTTGTCCATGAAGACGTGCGACCACTTGTTGAAGCTAGTCACGGCGCGGTGCAGCCACTACATCGTCACCATCGTCACCTAACGCATTCCACGCATTCACTAACCTACAAGGGAAGGAGTCATGACGCAAGCTGGGCCTCAAGTGTGATTCAAGCAACACGAACTGATTCCTTCTTTTGCTGTTACCATCGAGTTGGAAAAACCTAACACGCTCCGGGTTATCGTTTCTCTTATGACCTGATAGTCTCCCCCCTCCCCCCCCCCCCCCTCTTATTAGCCTTCTCTCGAGCTGGAAGAGTCCCAACGTTTGTTAAACGCGTTTAATATGAATGACCTGGTACCTAGGATCGCCACCTTTGATAGTAAAATATGGACATATGGTCTGTGGACAAATATATGAAGTATACTTGCATTTGTGATTCTGCTGCAAATACCTACAGCCACCTTTAGTCAAAGTACCAATTGATGCTATGAGTGTGGCATACTACTCTGGCTCGAAGAAAACAGTGGCTTTTGCTGCTATTAAGTTTTATTAACCAAAAAATATTAACAAGTTTAAAGTATGAATGAAGTAGTGTCCATATTAAGACAAGGTTGCAGTTTGGACATTGCATCTGAAATATGAACTGTCCATACTAATTATGAACGGGTGGCAACCTTACTGGTACCACACCTATCATTTTCGTAGCTTGCCTCTGAACCCTCTTGGGCGCCGTTAGATCACATGTATTTATAGGTCTCCAAAATTGAACGCAGTACTCTAAAGAGGGTAAAATCAATGCTGCATGCAAATAAAGCAATTAACGCAAATCGAATAACGCAATTATCGGCAATGGAATGCCAGAAGAAGCTTAAGATCCTATTACTTTTGGCAATTGTCCGTTCACCTTGCATCAGGCACACCATTTGGTCTTGCGTCTGTCATTTTAGATCGAAGTTTCTCGGAAAGCATGCGGGAAACGTGGCCAAACCAGCGGGCTTGGAATCCCTCGCTTCGAATGCGTTGCTCCGGTACCAGGAGGTTCTAAAAGGATGGCGGCACTCCGCATCCTCTCGGGTCACGTCGGTCACCTGCTGCACGGACCTCATCGAAGCAGCTTGTATCCGCGGCCTGATTCTTTCGGTCATTATCCACAGTTCGTGACCACAGGTGGAGGTAAAGTAAAGGGGGTAAGAGGGAAAGAGCGAGTAAACGCTCCCAACAATTTTGACATTTTCGCCTCCTTGGCGAAGAGTTACAGTCACAGTCCTCCAGAATTTCCGCAAAGCTGCACTCCTAGCCTCTCTGTAACACGTATGGCGTTTCTTTCATTGTTAATATAATCTTATTGGTATGTCCTTAGTTCTTTGTGAACAACTACTTCCAGCCTAAAAAAAAATGACAAAATAAACAACCTCCTGTCAAAGTTAATTTGGCAGTTCTTCCTTTTTTTTCTTTAAAGCAATACTTGCCTGCTTTTCCCAGTTTTTACTGGCGGAATAGAATTTTCAGGTTTTACCAGGCAAACTCAGATGAATTGGTGAAGTGAGTATACATGGAATTTCTTGTGATGGTGTCTTTCTTGTCTTTCATTTTTCAAGAGACAAATCTTCACATGTCCAAAATTAAAAACAACAATACAGAAGGTACAATTGGATATTTATTCAGATACTGCAGGTCCACAATCTGCAGACATGATATTCTTCCCCAATAAATACATCCCAAAATGACATCAAGGGGTATGGGAAACGGCAGAGCAACTGTCAGAGCTTTGACAGACCTCCACCTATCACAGGCACATCCAGATAGGATTTCGCTTGTGGGTAGAGCCCCCGGCGACGTTTGAATTCAACGATGTCCACCACTGCCTTGGCCTGGAACAAAAAGATTTGACACAATTCATGGAGCTTCAGTTTGTCTTCTAGGCTCTCAGAAAAGTGAAAGAAAAGCCTAGACTTTTCAAGAAAAACATTCAAAACTTCATTATGCAAAACAGAAAGTTGAGTTGCAAGGTTTTAAATTAAATCAATCATATCCTAATTATTTCGTGTTCACAAGCACTAAGTTCAAAAAGCATACCAAAATTACAATGCTTTAAAGGAACTGCTGCAATTGGTAGGTCTGCAATTTAGTTTCTCTCCTTTTTTGAGTACCTTTCCCTCTATATTTTACAAAGTGTTTATCTATGCCATTCAAAACACTAGCACATTTAAATGCAGGCAAACTGGAACACGACTTTTCTCAAGGAAGCCCTGGTCTAGAATGGGTCTTATCAAAGCATAACTTGTAGTGTGGTAGGAGTGCACAAGAGAGCACAGAAGAGATCAATGACAGATATTAACAGAAGAGATAATTAAACAATTGTGTGTTCCCTTGAATAAGGGGAAAGGGAACCAGTTTAGGGGATCATGCATTCTATTGAGAAGAGCAAACAGAACTGAGGGTGGACACCTAGCATGAATGGGATATGGGGCTATGAACAAACCCATAACCAAGTCAAGAAATCCAAAGAGAAAAAATATTAAGAACAAATGCATGAAACATGAAGTCATGAAGACCTGGATTGCCCCAAGAAAGGATGGAATGAAATATTTGAAAGACAGGTCATGAGATCTATTCTGAACCCCCCCCCCAAACTTTAGGGCTGGTTGCACCACTGCTCCCCTTGCATGCTTCCAAATGCAAGAAGGTGTTATCAATCATCAGAAGAGATATAAGCAAAAAAATGCATAACAGTGTGAACAAAAGAAAATTAAATAAAGAAAAATGTTGTGAAATGGTGGAAATTAAATTTAAACTCTAAATGATAAAAGCTCAAAATGAACTTAATTTGGGATTCAGCCCAAATTTCATTGTGCAGATATGCAACTGCAAATTCATTAATCTGTACCTGATTCTCACCTTTTATCTGAATCATCGTCCTTCCGTTTTCAGAAAAAATTCAGTAGTGTCACATGTGCAGGATGCTCCCTTGACATGTTCACTTTACTACAGCAAGTAGCCAGATGTGACTGGCATGACCTTTGTCTTTCACCTCCTATCATTGTGCCTTTCCAGCCTCACCCTCAGGTTGTTTGCTCATGATAATATCTTCCAGTGTCCCCCACCCTCGGGGGAGAGGGGGATGGATTAGTAGAGCAGGGGTATGGGGTACATCATGAACAAGGGTACTGGGAGGAGGAGGTTCAGACCCCCTGAACCCCCACCTTGGTTGCACCACTGAAGGGGAGGCTTTTGTACAGTAGTCGAAATTGACAAAGAAAGGAGAGGTAATGAGGAACAGGGCCTCACTTCACCTTCAAAGTTTTCAGACATACATACACTTTTTTAGTCATGAAATTTGAACTCCAAACTTCGACATTAAGACTTTAATTCATCTTTTGTAGACAAGTCTCTACTTGTTAAAAAAAAATATGTTGTGGCTTTGGTGATTCCTAAGAAACAATCAAGAGGCATCAACTCTTGGGAAGGACCTACTAAAAATGACTTCATACCACAGGTACTTGGCAAGGCATTATTTATGAGAAACACTTGCCCCAAGGTTAAGGTGACCAGATTTCTGTGTTGCAAAAGCAGGATGCCCAAGAAGTACTTTTCTTGGCTCCTAAAAAAGAATAAGACTATATTTCTGCACTGACAATTGTATTAATTATTGTAGAAACATGAATTAGAACTGATATTAAAAATGCTAAATTCATTGGGGGACATGTGGGCAGGTGGTCTGAAAGTAGGATGTCCCACCTAAATTGGGACTTCTGGTCACCTTACTCAAGGCAGACTTGTTTCTAATGACCCAATACTAATTGCCTTGAAAGTTGATGAATATCCAAGGCAAGGCTACTCCAGGTCCATATTTGTGTCATATACTACTAATGCAGGGGTGTCAAACATACGGCCCGCAGGCTGGATCCAGCCCGCGGAGGTGGTTCATCCGGCCCGCTGTCGGTTCGTGAAATTTCCACTTGGATTGACCTTCAGCACGAATTTTAATGAAAAATTATGGGCGTGGCCCGCAGACATCTGCAGGGTAAGGAATGTGGCCCGCCGATCGATTTGAGTTTGACACCTCTGTACTAATGGATGTCTAGGGATGAAGAAAACCATGATTGCAAGAGCATGGCCTTACCGGCTTCAGAGATGGTGTATGATGCTCTGGGGAAAGAAGTAGATCTTTGGGCTTCACTTTAGACTGAACATAGATGGCTAGCTTGTGTCGCTTCTCAGATCCATTGTGTATGAAGTCCTACAAAGGATGAAAAAAAAAAGTTATATATAAATATGGTGTTCTATATTATACCAAAGAAAATCACTGACAGAAAAAGCAATGAGGGCAACCCAAAGTGCACAGAAGTTCTTAGAATACTTGCTCTGTTTTAGGCTGAGTCCCATAAATACACTAAACTGAAAAACTGCAGTTCACTGGTATATTGTTAAAATGCACAGCTATAATGAACTTCTCTGTAATATCAGGCACCCTGATGCAAAAAAATGTAATATAGGACATAATAATGGGTCCTATATTACATAATAATAATAGGTCTTCAGGACCATACAAGTCTCCCAACAGTCACAGATGCAAGATCCTATATTGGTTACAACACCCACCTTACTAATAACTACAAGATGAAAACCCATTTTTTCATGATATTATTCCACATGCTTCAACCATTTTCAGCTGCATCCAATGCCAATGGTGTGACATCCGTCCTGGAACCTGGGCAGCCAAGGGAGTTCTGCATGCATTGGTCCATCACCCCTTCTCCTAATGTCCCGCAAGTTTAAAAAGAAGTACCTTGCAATCAAGGTAGCAGAGTTCATAACACAGGAGTGTCCTAACTATCCACCTAATCCAGATCCACTGCCATTTCCCACATCATCAGTTGCACGACCAACTGTTCAATGCCTTCATTAGACAGCCTCAAGGAATCTCTTTCACCCATATCCTCCTCAATTGCTCAGCCACATAGCTAAGCACTTGCCTTCCCTGGACATCCTATTCTATGTCCATCTGGACCAGTGGTGTCTTTTCAGGACTGTTCATTTCCACTCAGTTCTGCATAATTGGCAATCAATCCACTGCATGGTTCAGAATGATTCAAATGCTCAAAAAGTTTCAATAAGTGTAGTGGGGAGGAGTATTCACATTTACAACTAAGTCAAAGTCCTGATTCACAAAATCCAGAATACTGACCCCCATTAGACAGTCACAGTATCCCACTTGGATAAAGACAACATGACCTATGACCTTTCCCTGTTTATGAATGCCATATGCTTATTTTAATTGCAATTAACATTCTATTTCAATTTGCAGAACCTTTCTCTCCAGCATTTCCTAAAGAATTTCTTAAAGCTTATTGTTCCAACTGTGAGAAGGAGCATGTCCACATTTCTCTCAAATAAACCTGTAACTGACTACAAAGAGCATTCTTCTTCTTCAACCTTGACTCATTAACTCTGTCAAAATGCAGTGAAGCTTCCAGGAATTTATGTAGTATCACTGCAGCAACATCTACTCTCTGCTTCAGAACCAAACCAATGTTTGCCTCTTCAAAATTCCTACTGTGAGTAAGATAAATCACAATATTGTTTTGGCAAGGAAAAAGTAATGTGTTCATGGACCAAGTATGGAAAGGGTAAGATAAGACAATAAGAGCACTTTACCATGGTATGAACAGAGTGTTTCACAAAAACGTTTACCATTTCAGTTAGCCGTGAATCCTTTAATATCATGAATATTCACTTCAAACAAAGGCTAAATGACAGAAGAACTCCTAAATTTTCATTTTCTTGCAGATAATCTACCATGGCTGTACAGTTTATGGATGAACAGCGAATTTACATTGTTGAACGCTTTTTGGAAACCAAATCACCAAAAGCTACCCAATGTTCATTTCAGAGAAGGTTTTCAGGCAAAAAACCACCATCAAAACCCCTATCACCAAATTAGTGAAGAAATTTCACAACATCGGGACAATAAAGAACCAAATTCTGAAAATAGTGGGAGAAAGCAAACAGCTAGAACAGACATTGCTGTTGAAGATGTGAGAAACGCAATAATGAGGAATCCGAAGAAATCAGTTCATCATCTTTCTGCAGAAAGACATTTATCTTCAACATCAGTGTGGCGAATTCTGAAAAATGGCCTGAAATTATTCCCATACAAACTCCAGTTGCAACATATGTTGAGTGATAGAGATAAGCAGTGTTTTTTCCTGGAAACCCTCTATGAAATGAATGTTGGGTAGCTTTTGGTGATTTGGTTTCCAAAAAGTGTTCAACAATGTAAATTCGCTGTTCATCCGTAAACTGCACAGCCATGATTATCTGTAAGAAAATGAAAATTTAGGAGTTCTTCTGTCATTTAGTGTTTGTTTGAAGTGAATATTCATAATATTAAAGGATTCACAGCCAACTGAAATGGTAAATGTTTTTGTGAAACACCCTGTATAACAATACCATTCAATGTGTAATTCTGAAAATTGAAGCCGGCAACTATTTTCAAAAAGTGACTCAATTGAGACTTCCCATGCATACAAATTTTTTTAACACAAAAATTTTTATTGAATTCTTATAAAGTTTGGACATTATTTGTGGAAAATGCTCTTATACATTCTCATATGTTCTGGGATTAAAAACAGCTAAGCCTACACATACATCCATGTTCATATATACTGTACAATACTGAGAAACAATACCAACCTTATAGAAATTCATGATGTCCTCCTTTGTGAGGGAACGTAGGTGCTCGGCTTCCATTTCATCTCGGTTGAAGTGATAATTTTTGGATGTAATTTCTGCCCACAATTTCGAGCTTTCTCCCTTCATCTTCTTTGGTTTTTCCAAAATTCTTGAATGCAGGGCTTCTTTGTGTTTTTCAAAGTCTTCTTCCTTCATTTCAGCTAGATATTCCTGGAAATAATGAAAATAAGACATTAAAATATATGCCTTCCAATGAGTATCAATATGGATTGAATTGATTAACCACTCAACTGCATGGTTATTTTCCTCATGTTGTATTGCCAGATTTTCTAATGTTCAATAGTGAATTCCTTTCTTTTTAATTGTTACAAATCAATTTCAATTACCTGAAATATTTTATAATCTATTGGAAATTTATTGGAAGAAAACAAATATATATGCCATTAGCAGATGTGGACCAGTTCAACTTGGATGTATATACACTGCTCAGTCATAAGTAAATAGACACCCGCAATTCAAGTTACAATGGGAAACGCCTATTTATTCCACAATACAGTACAGCAGGCCCTTGCCATTTGCAGGGGATATGGGATCACTCACTTTCCTTAGTTGCCATGATTAACACTTTCGCTACCAAGCCATTATTTGGAGGCCGTTCCCCTGAGGCCAAAGTAATCCTCCTAATTCTGGTGTGCTTGACACAAGCGATTCTGTGAAAGGTGAAATCCACTGGAGATGATGAATGCATGGGGCGGCAATCGACAAGCCGTAATGACGAAACTGAGCTTGTCCGTAATGACTGTCGGCAATCAAACGGTACCTATGTTGTACCGTTGAATTTCCAACCAATCTTGGAGTGCCATTGCTCCCACATTCTTTGTATTCCTTGGACCTCGAACCTTATGACTTCAAGCTGATTCCAAAAATGAGGTGCCTTCGATGAATGGCAGCCGCTTCGACGACATAGGCACTTGCCAATCAACTTGCGACCAACGCGCTGGACAAATTTGCCAAGAATGGGTTACAGTCTGTTCTAAGCTCTTTACAAACGAAAGGAAATGTGTGTTGCATGAAATGAGGAAGAAGTAATTTCCACGTTACCCTTATACGGAGATATGCTTATATTGAAAACATTGTAAAAAAGAAATGAGAAATGAAACACCGCCAATTTGATTTAAAATTGACCTCATCAGAAGGCTACGATAAAATTCGTAAGATGAAAGGAAGAGGTCCCACAAAGCAATGCAAACCACCCGTCGGCAGGTCATATGATCTGGTAGAAAGGACCTGTACAACCTGCCGGCGGGTCGTATGACCCAGGAGAAGAAAGAACGTACGACCCGCCGGCGGGTCATATGGCCTAGGAGGAGAGAGCCCTTACGACCCGCCGGCAGGTCGTATGGCAGCGAAAGTGTTAAGGGAATGAGTAATCACAGGAAAATATAGCAAAAAGTCTTGGGTGAGAGCAGCATGATGTTTACAGTACAAAGGCTACACGTGGAGAGAAAACATGGGCCTGCGGATGAGAGGTGCAATGCACTGCGCCCAGTGCCAGGTGCCTCACACTAGTTTTCGCATCATATGGTGGCAGCCGGGAATATGTAGTGCTGCTACCTGCAAATGGCTGAAACTGCGAATGAAGAATCGGCGAATGGCAAGGGTTTGCTGTTGCTCTTGTTGCTGTGAGTGACAGTAACAATACTTAGTTGACTGCTTACAAATTGTGGGTATTCTTGGATCTGCTGCCGTTTTTAAAGGTGATGCCCACATGAATACTGGCCTATCTGGAATGTTAATGTGCCTCTCAGAGGTGTCTACTTACTGGTACATCTGAACAAGCACTATATATGCCCTAATCACCTGAAAAGTTAAGGTGCAACTGAGTGGAGGCATTAATGCTTTCAAAGGCAAGTACACCATGAACTTAGCTGCTATACAAGAGAACTAGCAGGTGGCACCAGTATATATAGAACACAGTGAAGAGAAAATTTTTTTTTTAAATTAAGAGAAGATAGAAATTCATGAAGAGGGGGAGATGGAAGGAAAAAGACTCAGGGTACAAAGAGGAAATAAAGACATGTCACTGCCCAGATGACTCCAGAGTGAGAAAACATGAGGGGCTATTGGATTTGAATCATCTGCAGGCTACAAAGGAAACACAAAACTTTCTGAAACTATGGAGTAAATGGAAGACATCTGCAAGACCTTGGAAAGTTATGAATGCAACCATGAATGTGTCCAGCATCCCACTGATGAAATCTTAGAAATCTCCATGGAAAGGAGCAAGACTCCCAATTCAAACAAAACTTCACTATGTGAGAATTGAAACAGTTGATGGCAGTATATGGTTGATCATGAAATGACTTGATTGTACATGACAATTGGACTCGATAGAAGACATTTGTACCCCAAAATGAAGGGGGTAAACACTCCAAAAAGAGAAACTACTCCAATTATCAAGGTTATCAGTTTTTGTGGGCCAATTGGTTTTTCTGTGCTATATGTGTTTTACCTGGAGTCAGTAGAGGTGACAGGGAATGCAATTCTTTCAAATCTTTGCAAGTTTGTTTGCCATAAGGGTAAAATATAACATTGAAAAGAGTTGTACCAAAAAACATGAAGTGAGCATAGAATTCATAATTCACATTTACTTGAAAATGGCAAGCAATTAAAAACAGTCCAATTTTTGTTTTTAACACCACCTGGACAAGCTTAAGTGCAAAGCAGGGTAGCACATGGAAAATTGAAAAAGGAAACTGTAATGAAACTTTTGCTGCTGCAAAAATCATTCATGCAGTCTGTGTTGCTTGACTACTTCATCATTGGTGCTATGCCTATCACTTCAAAATTAAATTCTTTAGCATGCTTAATTTCTTGCTTACCATACACCCCCTTTGCAAACATAAGTGTTTTTATCATGAATACTGCAAAATGATATATGGACTAATGAATGCAGTTCTTGGCTTTCCATCAAATGCATGAAACAAACCACCTAAAACTCCCCTCAGTGCAGTCCATTGTCCTCTCTGACCATCACTTATGATGACAGGAAGAAAAATATACATACAATGATTCTTTCTTGACCTCCACTTATGATATTGCCCTTCCTCATGCATTCTCTGAGTTAAAAATTTATTTTCTGGACACCACCTTGTATTTCCAATCTGAGGAAGTGCCTCTTTGTCAGTATGGAAAGGTCCATACCAACACCCATCTTTGATCACTTCCACTGCGAAAGATTCACAGCATGTCCCTTCTGTGCCAAAACAGAAACATGGATTCATATGTTCATTTTTGTCCATTGGAATTTTTGTAAGTAAACTTGTCTCAAAAGTTAGCCCAAAACTAGTCCTTGAGATAAAACTTTTTTTTATACCACATTTTAACTGGTTAAACTTGTTGCCATAAACATAATCATTGACAGATTTCATATTGACTCTTAGCAAAATCAACAAATGATAAGACTTACATGGACCATTTGAAACGTGAATCTCATGAGCCTCCAAACTATTTGAGCATTTTTCAGGGGAAACCATGTTCCTGGATATTATTTGACTTGCAGGTATTGTGGGTGCAACAGAGAAGCATAGAACAGCTGAACTTGATATGGGGACCTTTGACCCAAACAGAAGGTGGATTGAGCTTCAATTTTTACAAGGACTGAAAAATTGCAAGTCTGGAGCAGCAATTCTGACCACAAATCTCACAAAAAGGGTAGTGCTCATTTTGTGACAGGGCAAGAGGAGGTTCCAACCCTTCTGGAGGCAGGAGCCCAACTCCAGGCTCCCAGCATGGACACAAAAGTATTTATTAAGCAATGAAGACTATTAAGATGATAATTATGGAGTGAATATTTTTTCCCCTTGTATTTACTTCTTCCCCTTTTTCACCTTTGACAGTGTAATATAAAGACTGAGGGAGGGTTCTTGTACTCCCTTTTAGTGTTAAACGACCTTTTAGGTCCATTGCCAGCATAGGACTAAAAGCCTGTTAGCAGCTAAAAGGGAGTACAAGAACCCACACTGAATGTTTTTAAACATAGAATAAAGAGTATCTGAAATCCCATAGTCCCAAGTATTGCACCAATGCCAGACACAAGGGCAGGCGATGATGTTCTCAGACTACTAATACTAATAATAATCTAAGTATCAATCAATTACAAAATGTATCCTTGCAACATATCCATATAAAGGACATAGCCATTCACCCTTCATCAGCTACTTCTTGTTGAATGCCTACATGAAGAAGGGGGCCTGTCTCATTTCCAAAATCACTTACAATTTATCAACATATTGTAAAAATGAGGATCAAAGAAGATGAGTCTCAGACAAAATGTTTTACCTGAATATGGTCAAAGAAGGCTTCAATCCTTGTGTTGAGGTGCTCAGGGGCATAAAGTGACTGAACAGTAACAGTCACTCCTTGAACACCATTAGATCGCCTCACTCCACTGAAGACCATGTAACCCAGTTGCTCCTGGGATGCACAAAGGTTTTTTCATACATCAGAGAGAAGGGCTGGTTACAGTGCAATAATCCTGGAAAAGTTCATACTTTTGTGCGAAGGATGTCAAAACAGGGTTCATGGATGATTTGACAGAAAAGCTCCACCAGCATATTGAAGTGGGTGTCTTCAACAAGGCACTGTAAGTATATCTTGACACAAGAACTCTCGTGCACTTCATGTGGTTGGGAATATAAAAAATTGTCACCTGGAAAGAAAGGAATGCAGTACAGTGCCCAAGAAATAAATGAAATGCAGTGAAATAAACTCAGCACACCTTAAAAGTGAAGAAAAAGGATCAATTGAAGAATAATCTCACCCCACATTACAATTTTGGAATTTGTATGCATAAATAACACTTTGGGAGAGATAACTTGCCTCCATGATCACAACTGCCTCATACTGTACAACAGATTCTTAATGAGAAGCTTAACACACTTAGTGCCATGCTTTCTAGTGAGGGGCGTACAAAAAGTGCATGCTTATTTTCACTAAAAACTTAGGCCTGAATGCTGAAATCTTGTTCTGTTAATGGTCCTTTAACCTCCTGATCCCAATGCTCCAGTGATCTTAATGATCCCCAGCGAGCTTTCTTTTTTTTTTTAGAAATAAAAAATGCACAAATTTGACCAATAAAAAATGTGCAAGATAGAAGGATAACTTTACATGAATTATTTATTACAGTTTTTAGTAGCTGCTAGAAGCATCAGTATAACAACAACAAAAAAACAGCAGCTGGAGTCCAAAAATTCACCACATCAGGATCAGAAGGTTAAGAATGCATGGACTCCAATGGAAGAAAATGAGCTCTTTTACCTTAAAGGCCCCTTTATTTCCCATAAATGAGATTGGTGCATTTGGGTCTCAGCATTTTACAAAATATGCTCAACACTGGCCTCTGACAGGCAGGAATAAGGAATCAGCAGAAAGAAAATTTTGCAGTTCCAGGGAAAGGGCCAAAATGTTGGTCCATGCACTAAAAGAGTTAGGTGTTGCCCTTGGCAAGCATGGCAGCAAACAGATAATGTAAGGGGTGGTAACACTTGACAGAAATGACTTCTCACCATCAAATAGCTGAACTTCTCGATCCTGAATTACTTGACCAGGAAACAATGGATGTGTTCTTGCTGATCCCTTTTCCATCAAGTAGGACCTCACAACATTAATGAAGCCCTCTGCTTGCTAAGAAGAAGAGCAAATACAAGATAGCCTTAAATTAGTCATAGCTACATCAGAAGTAAGTACAATGGCCCAATAAATTAGGAGCCACATGAAAAACTCCCATCTTTTGAAATGGTGCATGGATATCTGACATTTTCAAGCTATACACTTGCTCATCATTCTTGTTCCTGCTAAAACTGATTAAACTAAAGAATCAAGATGCATGAATATATTAAAGCATCCAGTCTGAGAGTACATTTTCACATGATATAACTGTCTTCCTATTAAAAATAAGTTTATCTGAATACAGTCAAATTAAAACATTTTTGCCATTGCAAATCTTGCAAACTATGTGCTTATGAGGAGGATAACACATGTTGTGTCATGTGCAATGTGCACTTGACAGTGTGCCAACACAGGCTGGCTTGCATAGATCGGCATCCTTCTCAAAAACAGGTATTTTTCAAACATTTTATCTCCTGGTATTTTCAAAGCCTAAAGTAACCATGAAACAAACATCAATCAGGGGCATTCAAATGCCCCCCATTGATGGTATCATAATCAGAGTTGATAATGATCATGATCATAAATTATTTAATAGGAATGCAGTGACAGCAGGTGCTATCAGGAAGGCCAGCAACACCAAACAGAAAAAAAAGTAAATAATAGTAAAATTATGTATCAGATCATGAGGCTGAATTCATATCAACAACAATCCTCACCTTTTGAGTAAGATTCCCATGAATCAGGCATTCAACATGCAGATGTGATAGGAAGGAATTCACAAAATTCTCCAGACTGTGAACTGTGATCTGTGGCAGTGCTTGCAGAAGGTCTTCCATGCTCCATGATCGGTCTGTCATCAACTGTGAGAGGTAGTAGTTGCGTACGACGTATCCAACGAGACGAAACTTCAAGAAGTTTGACGCGAGTATCTCAAGAAAGTCATCTTACTTCGCAAAACCCAACCGAAACTTTACTCAGTTGAATAGGTACTAGAACAGGTCTTCATCATGCTGCTTGTCACTGAAGCCATATATTGTCAGTTGCAGTCCATATTTGGAACAATCTAGAGAGTAATTTAGACCAGCGACTTGTGCTGAGTGTGCATACTCATTGAGAGCATCTCTAAACAACCATACTAGAAGATTATTCATGTTGCAATGTGTGGGATCCAAGTATGCCAAAGGACTCACAAACTGAAACTTCAGGATTGCTTTTGGACGAAAGTATCTGTCATCTTGTTTATACCAAACTCGAAAAAGAGGAGAATTCTCGATGAGTTGAGGGGTCTTCTTTGCATCTTTCGGCAATGGATGTAGCACAAAATTGGTTGGAATGAATTCATTCTTTGGAGGTAGGGCAAGTTCAGTGTGCATGTTTAGATGTGCCCATTTCTTGATAACTTCAGGGTAAATGTCACTGATTGAATATTCTATTCCATACCATTCCTCCTTATGGACTGTGGTACCTTCAAATTTCTTTGCTATAACTGTGAGTCTCACTCTGTCTGGGATGAGAAGGCCCAAGACCTCAGAAATTAGTTCTGGCTTGAATTGATCAAAGAGATATGGTCCTGACAGCACTTCATCAATGGGATATTCACGGAGAGACAGGGTGACCTGAACCACATAGTTGATAGGATTTTCTTTGTCCTTGAACCGGAAGTCAATGGATGAAAGATTCCTGCACTCCTCAAATATCCACTCTTGAGGACCACTAACGTGAAGGAGCTTCAAATATTGAAATATGATTTCTGCAATCTCTTCAGTATGTTCCAAGCCATCTTCAGTGAGATCAACATTCACTTGAAAGAATGCAAATCCAGGAGCACCTGCATATTTTCCTGCAACTAAAGTATTTACCCATCCCTTTTCCTTCAGCAGAGATAAAATGCTCCCTGGTCCCTCATGACCAATCAGATGGGACAGGTAATGCTCAGGAGCACTTCTGTAAAATTGTTTGTAGTCAGGAATAGGAAAAATGAGAGTAAGTTTCCTGATGTCCTTGACAGGCAGAACTTCCAGAACTTTTCGAAGCTGGGGTTCCTTGTAAGGATGGTCTAGCCATTCAGGAGCTTGGATGTCCTTGTTCTTGACATCACTGAACAACTCTGCAACTCTCTCCTCCAGTTCCTCCAATGACTCTGCCATAAGATGAATAAAAACATAAATAAATAAATAAATAAGACTTGTCCAGAAGGTCTTTTGCTTAATAACTCTCCCAAATTAGTGCCTCATCCAAAACACTGACAGTGAAGGATCATTTTAAAATATTTTTATGAGTTCTTGATGGATTTGATGGATGATAATTGTTTTTGCAAACCACTTTGCCTTGTTCTCATGCATTAAAATATCCACATGTTCTTGTATAGTGAAACATTTACAGCATCTCATGCTTGACTTACCAAACAAGAGTCAGATTTCACAGTCTATTTTACTGACTGGGTACTTCAATGTATCTAAATTTCATCCACTTTTTTTGCTCAGATCAACAGGCTAGAATGGGAATTCTCACTAGCTTTGTGGTGCAAGAGTCAGACATGTGAGGGAGAGGCTGAGGAGATAGTAGCTTCAGATCAGGGAGGGGAAGTTTTGATAGTTCTCCATGTGGGAACCAAGGTCACTTCTATCCAAGGCAGCTCATAGCCATAATTGGTAAGATGCTTGTGACTACATCAGAAAGCACCAAGCAAGTGTGATGGAGCTAATGTAACTGTAGGTTCCATTTCAAATATACTGGACCATAGACCTTTGGTTTTGAGTCATGCAGACATGATCACTAACCACCTGGAGAAGGTCTGTGTTAATGCTGATGTCAAATGTTAATACAGAGTAGAAGATATACATTCTTGTGTATCAAGGTGAAGGTGGGGTTTTAAGAATGAAGGTCAGGTTGTGAGATGAGTCATAGAACATAGCATACAGTTTTCTTTCTTAGTGTGAGCTCCTGTAACCCTTCCTTCCTGTTTGGGTCACCACATAAACCTTCCTCATCCTTAATTATCTTCAGTAGTCCATTAATGCAAGAAATGTGAGGGAAAAATCTGAATGCTTTGAATTTGAACTACTTTAAAGCAATACATAAAGGAAAGGCATCAACCTAAATATAGCAGAATAGCAGTAGGTGGCAATAACACCTTAAAGCAGTGGTTCTCAGCCTTCTTTTCTTGTCAGCACACCTAAGCCTTCCAGTGTGCCATGGCACACCAGTTGAGAACCACTGCCTTAAAGAAAGAATTTCAAGTAAAAACGTTTCCCATTGTTTGAAAGAGAAATTTTACAAAAAAAGGAGCTCTACCTTATATCAGGATGGTATGAAGTATTCTACAGATCAGGATTAACTCTATTCAAGAAGTAGTTGCAATAATGTCTTTGGGTTGCCAGGATGATCTGTAAGAGGAAGTTAATTCTGGTTTTGGTAATCTCCCAACATACTGATTGTATACAGGTGCATATATTAAAGTTCCATGCACTTCAGAAACTACTCGGTTATATGTTATAAGTTTAAATAATGGGAGACTTAAAGATAACTGGGATGTTTGGATAGCAGAGGATATTTGGATTCTAATTTTTTGGTGGCAGCAGGCAATGACAACTGTTCAGAATTTTTTGGACCAAAGGAGGTTTTCCTCTTGACTTAGTATTGGCCAATTAGATAAGCTTAATTGGCCTATTATTCACCTCTAAATTAGAGGATAGCTAACTCAGCTGGATGATACATGAGGGCCCCAATGATGGAGAAAAAAGTTCAAGTACAAATGGGTTTGCCTGATTGTAGGAAAGCAAAAAAAAAACTGATAGCATGAGATTGCAAGAATAAACAACTATTTGCCTTTGAGGGTAGCAAAGAAAAGTTTGGGATTTGATACCACAGAATATTAAAAACATTTATTTTTTAAAATCACTATACAAATGTATATTGAAACAGTCCACTTGTGCCTTTCACATATTCCCTTGTAACTTCCCTGAATTTCCCATATCTGTGAATGAACTTGTTTGAAACCAACTAAAATCCCTAGTAGCAATAGCAGGTCAATTATGACTGGATATCATCAATTTATTGAAAATGGCTGGTTAGGTACCATTTGACAATTTAGTGTAGGAAAGAGCCAATTCTTGCATTAAACTCTGAACTCTGCCTGGCATTGCAGAAAAAGGAACCTGGCTTGACATGATATGGCATGCAACTGCACATAGACAATGCCTAACCACAGACAGCCCAAATGGCTATGGAGACAATCCACATTATGTATATCTACTTATTCACAAGATCCTACCTTCTGTTTATTGATTTGCTAGACAGAAGTCTTGCATAATTTGATTTCTGGCTCTTACAGCATGGAAGCATCAAATTGCAGACCATTTTCAACTGACAGAGGATTTCAAGCAGAAGTTACTTATTGTTGTGGCCAACAACTGAGAGATTTCTTCCTTCCTGGCTCTCTCAAATTTAGGAATGGAGTAAGTAAGGTTTCAACTTAGTAAATGTTATTAATTATTTACTAATGCAGCAAATATGTAAAAATTCTAAATTAGTTTCTGCAGAGATAAGCTAATCAACAAGAAAAGGAGAGAGACCTAAAGATTATAATTATAGAGTGATTCTCATGTCAAGAACATAGCTTCTTAATTTAAAGCAGAAGTTAAAGAAGCATGGTTCTTCTTTACCACATAGCTAGATAGGTCTATCAAACATTTATTTTTAAAAATGTGAATTGAAAAAAGGAGAGACCATTATCTTTTTTTCCAGGAATAGTGACATATACAGGGTGTCCCAGAAACCCCACCACAAGTTTTGTACATCATTATGTCTTCATTTTTTTTCTGATGGAAATGAGTTTTTATCATTTAAAAGCCTAGACCTTTCTTAACAACCATTGTTAAACTTGGCAGTTTGTGATTGCTGGTTGTGGGGTTCTTTGAAAGAGATGTATGCTACAAAACCCCTAACATCCTTGACCTCATCACTGCCATTCACTTAGTCTTAGTCTCTGTCCAAAATGGGGGCGAGGTTTCTGGAATACAGGGATTAAAAACAGGGATTCAATCTTTTTGCCTCTGAAATTGGTTCCCATTCTGATCATGACACATATGGCATCACCAGAAAAAGTCATTCACTGCTTTCTGCCGCATGTCCAAGCTTATGACATTCAGTTTGGTGGAAATGGCACTGATGAGGTCAGGGATGTTAGGGGTTTTATAGAATACACCTTCTTATTCAAAAATCCCCACAACCAGAAATCACATAGTCAAGTTTAACAGCAGTTCTTAAGAAAGGTCTAGGCTTTTGAAGATACAAAACTCATTTCCATCAAAAAAATAATAAAGACAATGATGTACAAAACTTGGGGTGGGGTTTATGGGACACCCTGTATATCTTGCAAGGATGAACTCTCTCTCTCTTTTCATCCTCCACCTCTTTTTCAAGCTTTCACAAAGATCTTCCACATGGATGAGAGGGGTAATTTGAGGAAAATTTTCTTAGCTAGTAGGTAAGTAAATTATTGAGAGATCTTCTGTATAGCACATTCAGAGCACAAGATGAATCTGCAGTTTCCAACAATTTTAAATTTTCAAGAAAACTATAAATCACCAAGGAAAAAGTCATGATGCAAGATCATAAAGGTAACAAGGGAAGACACTATATGCATTGGCCTAGTTTGATCTAACCAGATCTAATGACAATTTCATTGGCTGACATATCATGAAGACATTGACAGTTGTTATCAAAAGCATATTGAGCCATATCCTGATGTAAAGCATACTAAATCACTCTGAGATTTTTGAAGATCCAATTTCAGGAAAAAACTTCCTCTCAAGTTATTAGTTCTCTGACCTGTAGTCATTCCTGCATAGCTCTGATCTTATAGGAACACTTTAGGAGCAGTGGCATAGCCAGGTTTTGCTAAGCGGAATGGTGGAGGGGCTTACATCTCCTCACCTGGTGGGGGGGTGAAGGGGGGGGGGATGGGAGATGCATTTAGACCAGAGTTGGGGGGGGCTTGAACCAAACTTGGAGAGGCTGAAGCTCCCCCCAGCCCCCCTTGCTACACCACTGTTATGGAGGCTTCCAATGATTGAATTCTTGTACAAGGGTCACCACATAACTTCCTGCAGAAAATTTTAATCTTCGTACAGAATGGAAGAAGAGAAGCAAAATTAGATGTGGGATTCAATACAAGCTTGTCCACATTTGATGATAACCACCATCTCTTTGGCACAGTCAGGATCCCCTTTGGATTAAGAGTAAATTTAAAGATTCCAGGACAAAAACAGTACCAAGAAATCTAAATTTATATTGAAATTTCAACATGAGGGCCATTGGAATAAAACAAGCCACAAACACATTGTATTTGCTTCAAAGCTTCACCAAACCATATATCTCATCATTTGGAAGCATACAAAGGTTGGTGTTAAATATCTGTAACAACAAAAAAGTTCAATGTTTGTGTCTAACAATTTATGATTGCATTTGGGAAATTTATGAGATGACCCATGTGAAACAGTGCAATCATGTCTTCCAATACCGTGTTCAAATAGCATATGGAGTATTCAATATTTACTTAGCACTATTCATGGATAAATTTTGCTGTGATCTCTCAGAATCACCATGCATGCAGTAATAGGTCACATCCAGGTGTTCATGGATGTGATTTCAATCATACCTTTTCCAAGGATGCACAAGGTCATAATGTTTGCCGAGTACCACTTATCATGAAAATCCAGCAAGGCCTTCTGGACATCAATCCCCTTCTCTGAAGGTCTCTTGCTCAGTGTTTCAAGATTCCCTGAAAAAAATACATACAAGCAGTTCAAAAGCAATCAAAGATTATGGAAATTACTCTGTAAAGTTGTTTGGACACAGCATTTCATTGCATGCACTATACTAAAGCCATCACTATGAATCATATGTGATAGAGAGATAGAGATGATAGAGAGATAGAGTGATAGAGAGTGCTCTTTCCTTAAAAGACTGGTATTTTAGTATAATTCCTTCAATCCTGTCAGGTGATCAACATCTTTGAAGCCTCAAATCTATGAAAGCTTCTGATGCTCATAGTTATGATAGATATAGTCAGAAATAATGAGCACTTAATGTGAATAATTGCAGGATACTGTAAAAAACCCATGCTACAACTAGTGCTATTTATGCAAGGGGCATTCACTAATTTTTGGTAATACATTTTTGCTTTCCTGTTTGCTAAAGCCATGAACTCCATATTCACACATCCCCTCATTTCCTACAATTAGATAAAATTGATATATGCTGATATTTTAATTATTTAAGATTATTCATTTTTTTATCTCATGATCCAAATCATGTGTGAGGGAATAGAGATGAACTATGAGACATGTTCTCCAAAAACTTCACAGCACAAAAAACTGGTGAAAAAAATTTTCAGATTCTTTTTGTCTCAAGATCATTATACCATTTGTCTTAGTATACCAGTATCTTCCTTCCCAGTATATTTTCTGGAGAAAGATATAAGACTGTCCCCCTTTGCCTCTCAAGTGGAATTACTATCTTAAATCATCCAATTCCTGAATATAAAAAATCACATTTCTACCAAGCAATAGTATCAGCACCTCATTCATACAAGCAACACAATACTGAACATACCAGTTCCAAACTTGCAATATGCATGTTGAGGATCGCTTGTAACTTTAGAGACTCGATCAATCCTCCAGGAGTCACTTGGGATATTCTTGGAATGTTCTGAATGAACAGCATTGACCTCCCTCTCAGTGGCACTCTCAGTGAACAAAGGATGGATGAAGAACTGGGCAAATCTATCAGGATAAAATTGAAGTATTGAGTTCCATTCATTTGTAATCTGATGAAACAATCATTATTAAGTAACAAATCATAGTCATGTGTGATCCTGGATATGGAAGAGTTTATTTCAACTCTGGTGATGACTCAACTTTTTTTTCAAGTGCAAGTTAGGTGAAACCTAGGGAAATGTCATTGATATTCTGTGTAACCGTGTGCAGTCTCTGAATCTACATAAAGAAACTAAAGGTTCAAACTTTCCCAATATTCTCTTATATTTTTTTTTAATAATTACGTATCAACTTTAGAATTGAAATAAGATTACATACAGTCTTCTGTGAAACAGATGACTGATGAATTGCAAATGGGGATCTTTAATACCTTATCTCATGCACCTCCATGACTAGGATGAATTGAGTCAACATAGTTTTTGAATAGTCACTGAAGTGAATGGTCTAAGGACAAGCTTGCTTGGAAAATGAAAGTCAGGGAAGATATGATGAGATGGTACAAAAAACTGGCATCAAGAGACACTCCTTGCAAACTTGAAATACTGAACATCAGTGAGCTCTTGACATGAGATTACATGAGATCCAAATGCATTGATATCAAATTATAATTTGAAGAAAATCTCCACTCAACATCAATGATACACACAGTATAAATGCAAAGATGCAGTAGCAGCATGCAGCATGATGCCCTAATTTGGAGTGTCACATGTTACTTTAACTCTATGGCCTTTCTGCAACCCTAACCAAACTGCCAAGTGCAAAAAAGTTTTCCCAGACATGATGACAACAAATTGAATGATACCTCACCACCTGAAACTTTCTATGAATCTATAATTAAGATTCCATGAAGTGAAAAAATGGGGATTTTTGCTCATCTTCATAAAAAAAAATGTAAGTAACCCACCACAAAAATGTTCATATTATAGCTGGATGTTCTATGTCCTCATGATTGTAATATCCATGCCTATGGATATACCAGTTGAGAATGTGTTGGGCTTCAATGAAACTCTTTTCCAAAGTCTTCTTTAACTTTTGCCAATTTAAATGATTTTCCTAAATCTGAATGAGCTAACTCAGAAACACACTTGTTTCATCTGATGAATCATTAATAGACTGGAATTTCCAAGAGAACTGCAAAAATTTCATATAATCATTTTTAAAGGAAATGATTCAAAGTTCACTCCAGGTATCAACACATGAAGTTCACACATGACAGGCTAAACTAATAACACATTCAAACACCAAGGTTGGAAGAGATAAATATGAATTTCATAAAGCATATTGGAAGAATTCAGTTTCATATTATGTTCCCTCACTTGCAGAAAAAAACCAACCCTGAGCTAGAAGCTGTATTCATGCTGAAACAGAATTTCACTCATGTAGTACCACATGGATCAAAATCTGCTACTTGTTAGGCATTTGAGATAGCTAATAATTGGAATATATTTATAGCTCATGCCAAAGTGAAGACATCCAACTCACCTGTCTAAAGCTTCAAACAAATAGGGAGGAGCAACATCAAAATGATAATTGGTGTCAGCAGCTGATGTGAATGCATTACTTGATCCCCCATGTTCTGATAAAAACTTGGAGTATGAATTCTCTGTTGGGTACTTCTTTGTGCCAAGAAATAGCATGTGCTCACAAAAATGAGCCAAGCCCTCTATATCATCAGGGTCAGACAGATGTCCTGGAAATAAAGAAAAACAATTCTGCCTACAAAAATCTCACATCTGGTTAAAATGGTATGAGGACAAAGCAATGACCATTATTAACCACTTAAATGGGAAGTTTTTCATCAAATACACTTCAACCTATGGAAGGTCAGACATCAAAAGACATCTAACCCAGTAAAGGAGTTCCTTAATTTTTCTTAATTTATTTGATTTAGCATCAGAACCAAAACCATTCCCAAAATGAAAATAATGTTAGTCAAGCAAATGTTTGTATACGAGGTATTGAGAATGACCAAAGGGTTTCTCTTCACTTGGAAAGTAAGCCCCTTAATTATCAGGGGGCCCTTCCATGTCAGACCTGAGGGGCCAGGGGACCTCTACGGCAAGAAACCTAGTGCAACCCCTGAAGATAGTTGCTTTTTTTAGATTCCTCATTCAATGCCAGTGTCAGCTGTGTCAACTTCCCTTCACGCATATCAATTGCCATTCATAAGTCGGTTGTACCTATGTCCTAGATGTTCCATAAAGGAAACAATGAAATACATGGTGATATATATAAAAAAAAAGAAAGATTATATAGGTCAATTAAGACTCACCAACATGGACATCCAGAGAACCAGCAGCCTTATCAGTCTTTGGGTCACTGATGAGGATCACTTTCATTCCATTCTGGAGCTCAAGACCTCTATAGAACCTGTCATCTTGTTCAGATTTTATAATTTCATTGAAACGTTGCTTCACAGCCATCGTAACTGACACTGATGTGTGAAATCTGAAAATAAAACAAGGGTCCATAAACTGAAAATAATGAGTTTCCATATGCATGCAGTTGTGGCATTGTAGAAAAAGGAAAGCATACCAAAAATGCTTTGGGATTTAGGTTCATATGACCATAATTTTAGAAATGTAAGGATATATAGGTTGCTTTTGAATAATGGAATGACTATGATGTTGCAGTTAATGGCAGTGCAACATATCATGATTGGATAAGTTACTTGCAAAGAGTAATCACATAAAGTACAATTGTTTGAGTAAAAGCAACTTCCCAGCATAGAATGTAAATAATCTAATCATCATTATATATCAAAGCTACTATTTGAGATAGCTTGCATGCAATACACTTATTAAAAGTTAGCATGTTGAAGATTAACAACTAAGGCACAAATGCATAAACCTCCTTTAGTTAACTGTCCTTTAAGAATGCATGGTCTCCTATGGAGGAAAAAGAGCTGTTTAGCTTAAAGACCACTTTATGTCCCCTCAATGAGGTTAGTGCATTCAGGCCTAAAGCTTTACTGATAGCCAGGACAGAGTCAATCTCTTTATGGACATCCTGCAACAGAGACAAAATATTCAACACATTTCAACAAGGAAAAGACATACTTCTCATCACAAGTTCCTAAGCATAAAACACAACTTATTACCTTTTGGGTTTCACAATTCCATTCTGTTATGCATCATATGTCATTAGCTACTCCCCAACATGGCACAGCAATTACTTCTTCATGAATCTGTGGAGTGCTTAGAGGCTCATAATAACCTGACTGAAAGAAAAATAACCCAACCAACATAACGGCCTGTATGAGAGAACCTATCACTTGAAAGCCAATCAAATGGTAGTTATCAAGATATGTATCAGGTGATGGGTCTATAATTTGCTAGGTTCCATATGTAAGAACAATTAATATGCATCCATCATGAGGCCTATTTTGATAGTTATCTTCATACCTTTCATGATAGGTATAAAATACCTATCAATAAATACCGATAAGTATTTGTGAATCTCCCTGATGACAACCTCCTATCCATCATCTTGCACCCAGGAACAATGTCATGTGTATCTGCTTGCATTATGACTGACCAGAATGTTGTGTGATGATTCAATATTAAATCTGACCCCATTTACCAGACTAGAGCTTGAATTTCAATCGCCTTGGCTAAATACAAAGAACTTTAAGGGATTTAATCTATCCCAGAGTAAATGAGCTCAGCATAAGTTGCAATGGTTCACATAATTCATTAGGTTAGCAAAATGCACTGCATTCACCCTGGTAGTTCATTATAAGCAGAATAAACAAGTTCAGGATTATTACAGATTGAAGCAATTTTTATACGTGTCACGATACCCTATCATGATAGGCATAAAATGTTTCTGCATATGGGCAACTTATCGAACCTATCAAACTTATCATATGATACCCTCAAAATTAGCTATTTTATCAGTTTTACATATTCTTGCATACCAGCAACTAGGTGTAAATTTGTTGATAAAAATGATGCTATTAAGCTACCCATTCTTTATAGATACAGATCATAGAAAAATATGAGTACATAATTCTGACTTCACTTACTCCAACATATCATCACCTCAGTTCAATAAGGTTCTATCTGACCTTTTTCATGAAAAATGAGATAATGACATCCAAGTAACTCTCATGGAGAGCAGATTGAGGAGATATATAGATTTTGTGTGAATTCCCTCAAGAAAGGCTATAATTAACGATTCTTCAAAGTTCTATCTGCCTGGGTCTCAAACATCCAGTTCAACAAGGTTCTACCAACAGTTCCTGGACAATAGGTGAGGACAAACTCTGGAGACTTTTGATTGGTTTATTATCCAAATTAGGCAGTACCCTATTGCCATCAGCCACTCGGATATGTTGTTACAGCTAGCACCATCTGATAAGATTTTGCCTATCATCTAACTCATGTTCAAGTAAGTGGTGGTAAAGCCTGCATTTCAGGGGTGTCAAACTGGTGGCCTGTGGGCCAGATCTAGCCCGCTAGTCCATTTTGTCCAGCCCACAAAGTCCTCTTTGACAGTTGCTTAGAAGAAAGTACTGTAAATTTCAGCCTGTTTGCATTAAAGATTAGGTGTTAGATTTTTAGTGTGGCCCCTAATCACCCCCAAAGGCTTCTATCCGGCCCCCAGCCTATTCGAGTTTGACACCCCTGCTGTATTTAAAGTGCATTTTACATTGAAGAGTGAAAGGTAAAGTGGTTTATCTGCTAAAAATTCCCAAAAAGTATATTTGGTTTAGTGCTCATAGAACCTCATTCCTTTCATAGAAAAAGATATTTTTTTTAATTATGTAAGAGATGAACTTATCTTACAGTACATAAAATTTTCCTCACTTTTAACATGACTTTAAAATCACTGCATTATTATCTGAGTTCTGTTCTGTCTCTTTTTCCCATGTTCCTCAAGCTGTGAACAGGAAGAATCACATAAACCCAATCGGTAGGAGTCAAACTGATTCCAAAGACTAAAAGTCTGCTGCCAAAAATCTCAATTTAAAAGTTATTCCATTTCGTTATGTCAGCTGTGATATGCACATCTCCCTGAACAACTGGCTTAAAATTCATGTAGTATTTTATGAGGGGGGTCTCAGCATAGGGAAGAAACTAGATTTCAAAAGTATGCCTAGATGCCTAAAGTGGACAAGGTGTACTACAATGACTAGTTGAATAAAACGTAACCTGGAAGTGTCCGATGGTGTAATATGACTTAGGCTAAATATTGAAGTAAAACATATTCATTTATTAATCATCTATATTTCTGTTTCTTGAACAAATGCTAGGAGGGTGAATTTCACACTAGTTTTTGTCAGGGAATAATTGGGAGATCTTGTTGGGGTCAGACAGAACTTTTTATGATAGGTCTTCCAAAAGGAAGTACCTATGAAGGAGGCTCCATGGTTCTATCTCACTTATGACATGATAGAATGTGCAGGAAATGAAATGTATTGAGGCATTTAAGTCTTACATTGCAAGTCTTCACAAAGTACCATATCTACTACAAGTATTAACTTTATCAAATAATGTCAAGTACAACCTGTAGAATCCTCTGAAGTTTGACCCTCTATTTCTCAAGTTAGAAACACTGTCACATAGAACCTTGTTGAACTGAGATGATGATTTGTCAATAGTTGCTCATTAGAAATTCTAGGATGGCTATGGCCAATCCCAACAGTAATCTGAAGGTCCAATTAATCTTTTTTCTCTTCATCTTTGGTTCCAAGAAGTAAGTTCCAAGTAGCAAGCACTAAAAGTTCCTATAAAAAGGCATTTCTGAAGGAGTGAAGGTGATGCATAGGGCCAAACCTCAGAGGATGCCCTTTTAGTGTGTCATTATATTTACCATGTTTGCTCACCTTTTTACTAACACTATTGGCATCCACTATGAGATATTTAAGTTTTGAGCTCTTCAATTCATTTTCCCTTAGGTAGGGCTGCCCCATATATCCTTTGAAGCACAAAGTATTATTGTCCCAATGCCCAAAAAGTGACCATAAGAATGAAGAGTGGAAAAGAGAGGGCAGAAGTTGCTAGTAGTCTCCAAAATCAGAGTTTCTGTGCAAATCTTGCTACTTAGTGGTTGCCAAACCAAGAAAGAAGACATTGTTTCTGAGAAACACAATGGTGTCCTTAACACATTGACTGCCAAATACAAGATATCTTGTACTATATTTCCATATGTCAGATGCCTAGTACAAGATATCTCATACTATATTTCCATGTCAAACGCCTAGTATGAAATATCTCTGATTTCTAACATTGCATGATGGAGTACTGAATATTACAAATTGCTTTTAATATTTTTTCAAATTTCTGTGACGTGTGAATAAAAAAATGGTGGCAGTCAATGTGTTAATGATACAGTCCTTCAGCTTACCTTAATAGAAGTCAGCAGCCTTCTGAAATTGCTTATCATGGTTGCTTCTATACAGCTATGACTGCTGTAATTGAAACATTAGATCATGGCATTTCTGAGAAAGACATCAATGTCTTTCTGAACTTCTGACATTTCTGACCAGGGTGGTTACAAAAAAGATGAGAATGCTAAGAGTGAAGTGAACACAGCTTCAGAGGATTTTACTACATGGTGGCAACCTTAACTAATATGATACCCTTGTGGAAGTGAATGTCTTGGCATAGGCAATAAATGTCTTGGCATAGGCAAGGTTTAAATCAATCCAAACATCTTTCTCTTAGCCGAATCATGATACTGGCTTTTAGCAACATTCAATGGATGGATTTGGTAAAAAAGACACCATTTCGGTTTTGTCCCCTTCCTTAGATGGTGTAATCCATTGCTTTTCTAGAATGATTGAAAGAGCATCTGTGTCTGTTTGATTACCTCCAACAGACTTTCAGTAAGCATTTATAGTAAAACCATCATAGAAAAAGAAGAGAACAAAGAGTGAACTTAATCTTAGTGAATCTAAGATTGTTTCCCTTCACTATGTCAATTACAATTTCCATTTTGAAGTTAACATAGGTCTAGCTCTAATATTAATAGCACAACAATGGAGTTGAGCATATATGAGGCACACTATTGCTAGCAAGAGTCACTGAAGCGACTGCTACCTTTATTATAAATAAAAATTGATGGGTCACATATGCGACTGGCAGGCACTATGAGGATATGTAATTCTGATTGAATTTTTTTTGTGTCAAGTATGCCAGTTTATTCATGATAAATATCTCTATAAACATCATGGGAACCTTTTCTTTAAATAGTTCATCTCAAATTAAAGACTTTTAAAATTAAAATTTTCAAATATATATATCATATTTAACAACCAGAACATGAAGTAACCATAAAACTTTCGATAAGAAGTATCATAAATTAATTTATTCAATGAAAATGCCTAGCGCCCGTATTCAGTTATGCTGGCATGGTATTGCGATTTTTGTCACTTCCCAACTTTAAAATAATACTGCATTAGAAGCACAGAGTAAATATTTCTAACTTAGCATAAATATTTACGAGACGATTATTACGCGACATTACGATAATTATTATGCGAGAATAATTCAGAAAGAATGTTTCTCGCAATAGGCAATAGAGGCATTCAGGATTCTAACCAGGCCTTCATAACTTGGCAGTCCGCTAATTACAATTCTGAATCCGGAAATTTCATTGCCACCCATTTAAAAAAATGCAGCAGCTCCGATAAGAGCATGACTAATCTTAGTATAGAGTTTTTCCCTTGGCAAATCCTCATCTGATTAATCCTAGTGGCAAAGGGTATACTGATATACCGTATAACTCTTGTTAGGTAGTCATGAATGACAATGAGAACTAAGGGTGCTATAAAACCCGTCCGAGCATCTGTCTTGTTTGAAGTGAGAGGAGAGATAGGAAAAATCCAATTTCTCGGAAATGAACCTGAATGGCGTGGCACAAATTGAGAGGAATTTTACATTTGAACCTAGACCCCAACATCACTAACTTCCCTTCAACTGAAAAAGGTGTTTTCCCACTCTCGTTCCCAGCGTTTCCAGGAATTCCCGATGCGCAAATTTTTTTTTTCCTTTTAATTTCTCTCCAGTTGTTTTTTCTCGATGATTTCTATGGAAAGAGTGAGATGGAACTACGATCTCAGAATGGAGACACAGAGACAGACTTGCGGACTCCGGGTCTTCGTGACCAAAGAAACAAATGATTCGGAGGAGGGGGGGGGGGGGAAGATAAATAATAAGAATAGACGGGCGTGGTTACCCTCTCCCAACAGAGAAGCCCTTCCCTCTTCCTTCGTATTACTCCCCACCCCGCCCACAACACTGTTTTCCTCCACCGAAATATGTGCCTTTGCATCTGCCAATTTTTACTCCGATCTTCCCCTTGACACAGCTCCTCGACGAGACCGTCAACGGAGGCAGATGCAATGTTGCTTGGTACGAGCCAAAGAAAGTACGCCCAAGTACAAGTAATTAAGAGGAATTTATCGCGAAAACGATTTGTTTGTTTGTTTATTATTATTTTTTTTTACAGTATTCAACCGGTGATGGAAAAATAGAATCGACAACCGCATGCATAGCATGAACTCCACGTAAAATGTCTTAGCACATTTATATATTTATCATTTATGATCAAGCCAGAAGGAAAAAACTGGGCGGTGCGGTGGGTGGAGTCGGTTGTCTTCGCGGGAGTGAAGAGGGTTCGCCCTGTTCGTGAAATTAATTGAAGACTCTGACCTTTTTTTTCTGAGACTGAATACGGGGTGGATCATAAACTAACCGCGATGTTTGAAGCCTCATGACTATGGATGCGTAAAAGGCATGATCGAGATATTAGGGGTCTTGTATGGCAATGCTACATTATAAATAATATAATTTTGGAAATATTATTTTAAAGATCTTGCATTTGCTTCGTCGGACGGATGAAGCCATGGAGGATTGCGACGTCATTGTTCACCACTTTCAGAAATGTCTCACAAAACCTTTCCTTCGTCCTCGAATTTAGTCGGAATGAGTCTGAGGCGACATGGCTTGTATCTGAAGTCTCACCGAAGACGGATCACTGAGCCAGGTGACACTTCAAGTGATTGTGATGCTCAAGGAGCCAAATTCAAAACCTTTAAAATGTTTCTGATTTTAAGTGTAGCAACTGGTCTACAAGATGATATAAATATGTCATTCATACATATTCTACATTTTTTATGCTTCATATTTCGCGAGTTTCTTATGGCTCACCCTATACACAAATAAGGCTACAGGTCGTCTTTCTGGCACTGACCAGAACCAAAACTTAGATCGAAGTGCAGGTTTTATCAAATAGTGTTACAACGCAAGTACCACGAGGTGCAGTGACCTGCAAAATTTTCCGACAGAGCAAAATATTGCTACTGGAAGTGAAGTGATATTTATTGCAACCCAACAGCAACCCAGTAAGCAACTAGCCCAAACTCCAATGAGCTTGAAGATCTATTCAATACCCAGTATGAGATTCTCCAAGAACACTTAAGGTCCCACTTCACATCTATCTAGTCGTTCATCTAATTTTTTTCCCTCTATTATGCCAATAATTAAGTGTGTCTTTTGCAGACGCAACCCAGTTCCCAGAAACTTAGAAAGAAATAACCCAAGCAACACATACATCTAGATGACGTCTACGCGGTGTTACCGCAATGTCATTTAGCTCAAGTCAGGTTGCAGCAACGTTGCATGGACGTCACGTGTTGCTATGGAACAGTAATGGACCAGCAGGCTAGAGTCTAGTTTACAATTTTTTACAAAGATTTTTTAAATCACATTCTTTCTTCGTGTGTTTTATGATTCTTGACAAGACAACGAGGAAAAAATACGTTATTGATAGGAAATTAATTTCAAATCAACAAGAAAAAAAAAAGAAGTATACCCCCAGAATTGGCGACATCCTTAGCAAGGCTGCATTTTGCTAGGAAAATAAACTACAACCATACTCACATTCGTGAACAATGTAGATACTTCGATGGATGAAGGAGGTTCCATCTATGTATCAACTTAAACATTGAACCCATCCAATGCACAATGTGCAAGGTGTAGTCTAAGGCCTATGCCATGGCGATGATCACCGTAGTTCAAGAGGATGAAGCCTAGAAAAAATGCAAATGGGTAGGAAATAGCCCAAAACGCATCATACATCAATAAGGCCTACATTCAATCGTCTTATCAAGAATAAGGAACGTAAATAGGCCTACTGGTCTTGTTCATGACAAAGATTTCAGTAAGCAAAAAAACTTAAGGTCTGACTGAGTGCTCCTGGTGTACTTCACAAAGACTTCTTAAATTAGAAACACGTGGTGCAGGGCAACATATGGGAAACACTAAGTCTCTCAAAACAATAGAATTTAGCAAAACAGAAAAATGACAAAGCACAGGATCAAACTAGCTTTGGCAGGTGCTGCAGCATCCTGAACTACACTAAGCATCGACATTCCCATAGATCATATGATCTATGGGAAAATATCACACGTGGCAGTTATAAGCAGTTACATCTGCCATATATATTTAAATATTATCCATGTATTGATACATGATTTTACATGAGAACATATATGGCTACTGAATATGATTCAGGTGAGGAATATTCAAGCATTAAATATGCCTGAGCATGAAGTTCCATACAGATGAAATATCAGGTGTGAGGAATCGACTCCAGAATATATGATGGTGTATGTGGCTGAAGTACATGATTCTTATAAAAGTCTTTCATGAATTATACATACAAGCAGCATACATTTTTTCTAACAACATATATATAACCTGAAATAGATGTCACATGCAAGAATTCACATGGTCATAGTATATGATCCATATAAGGTCTTTGAACATTTAAGTTTAACAAATATACTTCATACAGAAATATTTACATTATCATTACATGACATGGGTTCTATTATCCTAATATTATATATTTAATATATTTTCACATAAATCCAAGGTAGGCATGACACAACTCTATCTAGTTTGTTCACCTAGCCAGGAAATGTGACTGTATAATATGCCTACAGGAACTGGAGGCCTAGAAGGGAATGACATCACTCACTCTGAAACTTTTGTAAAGTCAAGCCTTGAAATCTGGTTAATAGACATTACACAGGAACTTGTATGTCACCCTGTCCAAGCATAACCTGCGGTTCTTCTATATTGGCAAGCCAAAGTGCAACTTGTGTAACTTGGAGGAAATACAATTAACATTTATGGGTAACTTTTCCTCATGTTTTATTTTCAGCACATCGAAGATTGGTTTCACTCTCAACATCAGATGCCATTCAAGCAATACATGAAGTGGTCCTGAAGTCATTTTTGACCACTAGAAATTTGATCACGATATGTGATATAATAAGACACATATGTTTCATACCTGTTGCACTATATATGTCTCCTCTTGAGTATGACTTATATGTCCCACCATATACCAAATAGGCTTTCAAGCATGCCTTTCAATAAGCTTTTGTAAAGTACTCTGAATCCTGGAAATACCCAAGGGTCACCTTTTCGCAATCTACCATTTCAGAGATGGTTTTCAGAAAACTTGCATTTAGTTTTGGAAATTTTGTGGTAATTATAATTATGAGCCCTTATCACTATTTTATAATCATAAAGGCAATTATCTATTATCTTGCCAATTCACAAAGAAACTTTTAAAAAGGAAGATTACGAACACTACCTGAAATGAGCAAAAAGTCATTATGGCACTTGCCCTCTATTAAAAATAAAAATTGAGAAGTCACAAATGTGACCCACAGGCAATACAGGATACATGATCACATAGCAATTGTTTCAATACCGAGATATAACCTGATATACAGTACAGTACTATTCCATATATAACCATATATTAATATACACGATAGATCTTATATGCCACATGTATCATATGTGTCTGTTTCTCGTAAAATCGCGCATGACTTTTCCATATCGATCCCAGCGCAGTGCCTCCCGCATGAGAGGGGACAGCGAACCCGAACCAAACTTAAAAATGAAATTCTAAAATTGGGAAAGGGTTCGTATTCGGTTTGCACATATTTATCTGACTGGAAAGAAAGTTCTCGGAATTTCTTGAATATCCAGTACAATTTTTTTCCAGAGCATGCTAGAATGTTCTGCGTGTGTTTATAAGTAGGTCGTGTCCTTCGGCATACAACCGTATATTATTACAGCCCTGGTGCTCTCCAGCCATGAACCAGCCCTACCCTCTTACTAAGGAGCAAGTTCGCCTGCTTCTTCTTTATGACTTCCGAATCGAGAAGAAGGCAGCCAATTCCATCGCTGACATCAATACCGCGTTTGGCCCGGACACTGTGTCCAAGAGCACTGCCTATGATTGGTACAGTCGCTTCCAGAAAGGAAATGAAAGCCTGGAAGACCAGCCACGCACCGGTCGTCCTTCGGAGTTTGATAACTCTGCCTTGCAGGAGGCACTGGAGGCCAACAACCGGCAAACATCGCGAGAGCTTGCGGACTTGCTGGGTGTCTCCCATACAACTATCCTTCATCATCTGGCTGAGCTTGGCAAGAAGGCAAAGTTGGGGTGCTGGGTACCCCACAAGCTGGACGATCGGGACCGCCAGCGACGAGTAGACATGGCCATCTCCCTTCTGTCACGTTCGCGCCGAACGGATTGGCTAGACTCAGTGGTGACAGGCGACGAAAAGTGGACCTTCTATGCCAACATTCGACGAAAACGTCAGTGGGTGGACGCCGGAGCATCGGCCGAAAGAGAACCCCGTCAGGAGTTGCACCCCAAAAAGATTATGCTCTCGGTCTTCTGGGATTCGAAAGGCATCATCATGTTTGAGCTGTTGCCGCAAAACACCACCATCACTGCTGCCTACTACTGCCAGCAACTCGATCGGCTGCAGCAGAAACTGGCTGAAACACGCCCAGAAAGACAGAGAACCATCCTCCTCCACGACGATGCCCGGCCGCACACCGCTAGACAGACTCATCTAAAGTTACTGGACCTGTGCTGGGAGGTGCTGCCGCATCCGCCCTACAGCCCCGACCTTGCCCCGTCCGATTATCACCTTTTCGTTGCCCTGGACCGTCACATGGGTGGAAAGCAGTACGCCAACTAAGACGACCTGAAAACCGATTTGGCCAACTTTTTCGTAGCGCAGCCGCCAGAGTTCTATTGGAATGGCATCCATAGCTTGCATAAACGTTGGCGTGAAGTGATAGAGGCCAATGGTGATTACATTCATGATTGAGATGATTTTGCTTTTAAATAAACTGGGTTATAATAATTGTTCATGAAATTCCGAGAACTTTCTTTCCAATCAGATAATTCATTGGCCATTCACCAATTTGGAACAATTTCCAAGAACCGTTGGATGAACTTCACGCGAGTTAACATTCATCTGAGGGTTTATTATCCAGTATCGCGAGAACTGGGATTTGGTTTTCATGAGAGTCGCAGCCGTGTACCCATCTAGTCTTGAAGTTCTCGAATTTTGTGCGCAAAAATTATGGCGCGAGAAGCGATCCCTGGCACTTCGTTGAGATCGAAATCCGTTGTTCTCACCGTACCCACGATCTTCCTGATGGTTACTTGGCGTCTGGCGCATGCCCGAAAGACATTTCGTCCCTTTAGAAAGAGATGTACTATTTCCGAAGAATCCGAGAAGAGAGAATAATTTTCGCGATTGTGAAAGATCGACCGAATATGAGGCGATCCCGTCCGCATCATGTTTGGAAGGAATTATTTACTCACGCAAACAATAATTGAGGACAAATTTGAAAATTATTCACGATACAGGCGAGAAATTAATGTTCTTGAGGTACACCTTGTCGCTATGGATAAACCTTGTTCAATTGGTTTGCTTCACGCTAATTAATTTTAAAGAAAATTCAAGAAATGCAATCCAAAGCGAGAACTTTCGGGAGAGTCTGAACCGAATTGGAACTATCGCAAACAGAAATCGAACTTGAACTATTTCTTTTTAATTTTCTAACCCAAACCGAATGCAAACCTAATTGGAGCGAATCGAAATGGAACCCAAACTCACTCAACATGGATTTGTCCCACCTGTTCTCATATCCTTGTTAGAAGGGTAGTTCATTTCAATTACCAATTTTTAGCAGATTATTAGTTATGACTTTGATATAAACGACTGCAGTGGCGGCTCGTGGAAGAAAACTGGGGAGGCCAGCACACGATCTTCATTATGAACGCGAATTCACTGTAGTATTTAATGGGGAGCATAAGCAACAAAAGGTGTGTTAGGTCAGTCTTGTCGCTTGATGAGTGGCAAGTCTTGAAGTGGCAGGTAAAGCGTTAATGCAGTAAATCATAAACTGCTGCTTTCATTCACAAAAATAGTCACTTGTGCTCAGCTACCAAATTAAAGCTCTGAACAATAATGAGCAGGATAATGAACCAGACATCAATCATTTCTTCACTTCCTTTTGAACTCATTTGCGCATAAAAATTCCATCAAATCATATTGCTTTAGCCGAATACTGATCCTAGACCTATAATACATCCAGAAATTAGCAGAACCACCATAAAATGAAATAGACCACATTTAATATCTATTCTCGGCGATCCCCATAAGGCATCAGGTAGGCCTACACCTGGTATCCAAAACATGATAGCCTGGATTCCTACTTTACTTGCTGTTTTTATTATTTTGATCAATGTTCCAAATGGATACATCTTTTATTTTACCACACCTCTGTACAAAGTAACTTACCTGGCTCTATTCTAGTGGTCATTGAGGGATTCTTTGGCATCTCGCGAAGATGCACAAGAGAATATAGCTTAATTGTTCCAACACCCTGCAGTGACACTATGACAAGATAAGAATGCTTAGTCACAGCCACTCCCTTTGGGAAAATACAGGTGGTTTGGCTCTGGCTTGGGGTACACGTATGCAATTGAAATCAGCTGCATGAGAAGTGACTCAGCAGTGGAAGCAGGTCAAGGTACATGTTAAAACTTGTTTCAATTCAATCACACCTATGAATGTGATCAGTCATGCTCAAAGATTGGAATTTGAAAAAGAAGGAAGAAATTGTCTTATGCATGAACAACGGGTGAATATTAATTAATGTATGTTAGGACATGGCAAAAATAGATGAACCTCATGCCTCCTAAAACTAAC